AATCCTTAAAACCTCCTAAATACATTTCAAACGTTTTTCTCCACTAAATCTTTATAGTTTATATGTTATTTTCTCTACCCTATGTCTAAACGGGATCGGTCAATTCGACCGACCTCGTAACCCCCCAAAAATCTAAATAAACCTTTTTTTCTTTCTAGAATGACTTCAAATTGTAACATGAAACTACATTCGTTTATCCTAAGTAACTCTTAAGGTTGTAACATTGTACATCTATTTATAATTAAATTTTATTGTTTTATTTCCATTTGAACAGTGTTTATCTACTAACTGCTCCATTATAAGTTGTAAATCACTCGGGGAACGTGCAGCTTACGTTACGCTATTGAATTACATTACACACGAGCTGCGTGTGGTGCCTCTTGAACTATTTTAATTATGTTATTATTATTATTATTACTTATTTTTCCTACTCTAGTCATAAATAACTTAAAAATATCCGTTCTTTTAATTTTAGTTAATTTTATAATAATAAATAAAGAATGAATATGAAAAACAAGAAATAAAGTACTTATCCCAATCTTCTTTTTTCTTGCCCTCGATTGACGAGGAGAGTTAAGCCTGATTTTTTTATAGTGATTATATTAAAGCATTTAACCATTTTTATTTAATTAAATAATGCACTAAAGAATATAGACTAATAACATGCAAAAAGTAGACAAATTCACTTACCTCTCAACATTTTCCTGACTTTTTAACTATGCAACAAGAGCCGTTACAAATTCATCCTAGCTAGTCCTTAACTTTCCCAGAAGAACGATGTTGCTACTCTGAGTGAAATTGACGATTATCTGTTCAGAACACTACGTTATATAATACGCCATTTGATAGATGAAAACCTTGACTGTCTATTGGTTATAGGTAATATATCATAAAACGTAAAAGAGAACTATCAAAGAATTGTGAAAGAGAGGATGTGACAAGTGGGGGTGGCAGGAGGGGTCTGATTTTCTATTTGAAAGCTCTGTAACCAAACAAAATTGAAGGCTATAAAAACTATGGTTTGTTTGAGCAATAACGATTTTATAGAGTATTTTACGTTTAATTTCGTACATTTTCGAGAGGTGAATAAACTAGGGATGCTAAGACAAAATATGTCACATGTGTCACACTAGTGGAAATTCAGTATTTTTTATATATTTCCTTGTAGAATTAAAAACTTAAAACTTGTATACTATTAAAATATAGATTATTAGCTAAGATTTCAGGCTATTCCAATTGGTATAACGTAAACAACAAGTAGTTTAATTAAACTTTGAATATTAGACACTAAAACCTTGTGTCATGCGCAGTAAAGGGTACCCGGGGTGTGGTTCAAAGCTAGAAAATAGTACAAATCATAAAGCTACACAATGGGTTATCTGTGCCCACCACAGATATCGAAACCCGGTTTATAGCCTTGTAAGTCTGCAGACATACCGCTGTGCTACTGGGAGGCCATTTGAAAATAAACATAAATACAGATCAACGATAAATGTTGAACCCCACCTTCGCTTTAAATTGGTAAAAATTGTATCATTCTTCAATAGTGCCAGAGAAATAAAAATGACATCCTTCCCATTAACAGGTAAGTGTTAAATCTATTAATTTTTGGTACTACGTGTTTTTTTTATTAGACCTAAGTAATACTACCAAAAAAGCTTTAAAATAGCGTGCTGCACTAGCTTGGAAAGTTTGAGAATCACTAAATTATATGCATTAGCAAAGAAAAAATCGTGTAATTTTCAATGATCACTGAAGAAATATCAGATCGCCTTTTTGAAGGGTTAAAAACTCAATAATAAAATGTTTCAATAATTTTAATTACTAAAAATAAGTTTATTCGAAGCTCTTATGTAGAAAATAAACATTATAAATGTGCGTGATGAAGACGAAATAAAAATGCTCTAAAACTAACATTAGTAAAATGAAAGTTACACATATGAGAGAGAGACGATAAAAAATTGTTTCTTTGGTAATTTAAGACACTTCTTTTTCGCTACTTTCTCTTGAAGGGTTAG